GGTACCGAAACCCAGATTCTAGCGTTGTAAGTTCGCAGACATACCGCTGTGCCACTGGGGGGAGGGGGCTAGTCTTATGGAAACAGCGAAATTCTGGGTAAGCTGGTTGGCACTCCCCGAACCCACCACCCAGGGGCAAATGCTCCTCGTGCACCCCACCCCTCTCACTACGCCACCGTTTGCTCTTTGAACTTGAAAGGATCAGAATCTAAGCAGGATTATTAAAAATGAACATTTCAGTTCTAGTTTGTTTCAAAGGCTTTGATATGCTAACTACCAAATAGTTTTTTAAGTTGTTCTCATCAATGAAATGTGTTAAAAAAGTTGTACGTTATATTGATAGAAATGCTTACGTCATATATATATATATATATATTTAGGCACATACATACATATCTACAACATAGATTATTTTAAATTGGATTTCTGCTCCATAAACAAGTTTTATGTAACATAGGGGGTTACCTGTAGCCTAATGGACGGAAGAGTCAGTTTATTACATTATATATGAAGCAGAGTTTTTCCATTAATACCATAAACGATATGTATTTTTATTTTGTATCATAACGTGAGGGTAAGCTATATATATATAAAGCAGTATTGGGTATGAAAAAATGAATATTTCTAGCAAAAAAAAAAAAAAGTTCTCCATGACACTTTTCAAACAATGCACGCAGACTAAACGTTCCAATGAGATTTTAGGACATAATGTCAACAATTTTGAATAATTAACTCATTTTAACTTCTTCTTTGCTAAAAAGCAAAACAAATTTGTATATATGTTATGTGCTCTGTACTTTAACTGTAATGATGCACCCGTGCCTTCTAATCATTATAAGTTTTGTTTCATTGCCTTCTATCAGTTAGACTAGTGTGTAAAATTAACAGCATTATATACTAAGTTAGATTTTAGTTTTGATCTATACAGGTACTTTGCTTCCAAAACGAAGAAGAGTGGAATTAGAAACCCCAAATAATATTTATGCATACTTACTACACAGAGGGCGCCATCTATTAATCACGTTGAAATATGGATTTATCGGGTAGTGGTCATAACATTCTATTCCGCAATTGAAATGCGTTCTTCAATGTATAATAATCATTAAAAGGGCGATTTAAGGTAATACTCATATACGTTTTTATGCATTATAATACTGCCCCGAATAGAAATTATTAGTATTTCTTCAAATAGTACCTTAAGTCGAACGCGTAATACCTGTAGTGGTAAAATCGCTAAAGGAATGGTTATCTTTCAACAACAAATACTTGATATCAAGCAGTGAACATAGTCACAGCTTTCTTTAGTGATTTGCATGATTACCAGCAGATGGCACTAAGTGAAACGCCAAGGCACATAGGAAACAAAGTTTAACAACTGTAGCTTTCCGGCTATCAAGCGTGACTTGAACTTCATATCATGTCAATTATTTCTTACGATTATTAAAAGTTGTTTTCCTTTTATCTTTTTCAAATCTCTGTATTTGGAAGTACAGTTAAGAATATGTTATTCGAACAAATATTTCATTCCAAGAGTATTTCAACAAGGTAGATTTTGTAAGATTCAGTTTGGTTTTGGTTGTTATTAAGCACAAAGCTACACAATGGACTATCTGTGCTCTGTCCACCAGGGGTATCTAAACCCAATTTTTTTAGCATCGTAAGGCTGCAGATTTGTAATATTAAAGCTCAGAGAAATTTTTCATATATTTGATTTTATGAAAAAATAAAAGCTATGTGAGAACTATGTGGTTCTACACCGATTAAGTTCAAAATCTCTGTCATTGTGATTCAGAGTACACCATTTCGGGAATATAGATGTTCCAAGTTTGTTAAGTTTTTTGCTATCTTTTTAACCTTAAATATTTTATATTTTGCGGAAGTAATAAAGGTAACCTTATCAGGGAAAGATATGTGGAATTACTGGAAAAATTCTTCTTCTTCAGAACATCATTTAAACAAAAATTAACTTATTGTTTTTAAAACACCTTGTAGTATAAATGCAGAAAACAAGACAACAGAAATATCACTTGTAAGGTGAAAGGAATGGTTCATGACCTACGGAACAATAAAGATGAATTAATGATAAGTGCAACCATATAAGCTAAACTAATACCTTATTTATATAGGTTTAGACGAAAATAATAGTTGGATTTTACCACCAAGGTGTCTGTCGAATTATAGGATGTGAATAAGTGGGCATCATATTCATATTAAAAGTATTGATACTAGATGCCGCTGCTGCAGCGGCAACCATACTGGTCATGGATGTAAGATCTGCAGTTGCCATGGTAACATTCATACCTGACTGCATGTTTGGAACAACGGACGGTAATGGATCTTGAGGCTTGACAAAATTGCCATTCATCTGTGGTTGGCAAGGTTTACCGTCCCTTACTAAGACTGGAACTGCAACACGACGAGGTGAGGGCATGGGGGTTAGCTCCAACCCCTTTTCTTGTCGAGCACGCTTAGTTTTGTAGCGGTGATTTTGAAACCAAATTTTAACTTGCGTTGGAGTGAGTCGTATAATGCTCGCCAGATGCTCTCTTTCAGGGGCCGAAAGATAGCGCTGTTGTCGAAACCTTCGTTCTAACTCATATGTCTGGGCTTTGGAAAAAAGGACACGTCTTTTCCGTTTCTTTTGTGGTTGCCCATTGGAGGAACTACTGTTGTTCCCGGGTTTTTGTTCAATATTCTCCGTTTGACTAGCTGAAGGAGAAGCAACTGAAGACTGTTTGATGTCGTGGCTGTCTGACTCAGAACCTACGGTTGAGTCACACGCTTCCTCTGCCAACTTCGGTTTCGTACTATCATCACCAGCGCCTATCCCTTCGTTAATGACCGATGGGGCGGTCGACGGGCTTCCATATCTCAGACGAATCTCCTCAGGTTGACAAACTCTGTTAGAGACGGGACCCGTGTTGCTAGGTAACGGAGAAACGAGTGGTGTTACCGTCGAAAGAGTCGATGGAGACTGCCTTGGTGACGTTGTTAATACCAGTGGATGTTCCGGAAGATTCACCGTAGTGGGCGGTATGTGTGTTGGCAGCTCCGAGGCGTTAAAATGTGTATCGAGGGTTCCTGTCAAAATTGAGGAACTAACAGGAATTTCTAGCCCCACATGATTAAAACCACCTGTTGGAATAAAAATAAAAGAACGATTATAAAGCTTAACTCTTTTATTAGTGTTGCCGGTTGTATCATTTATGTATCGCTATCAAAAATTAAACCAAAATGTTACTAGTCACAAATAAACAACCCGTCGTCATACATTTGGTTATATTTGTTTATAATGAGTTGAATGCCTTTGCAACTGGACTACTATGTGTCCCTGCCGTAGGAATTACTCCAAGATATTTATTGAAATAAACAGTTGTTAAAGTTTGACGTTGCTCAGTTTTATTATGGTAAAGTAGTTTAACAGCGTTAACATCTAGATTTGGAAATCTAACGATCATTTGTTGAACATTTTTGTAGCGTTTATGATATTTGGATATTAATGAAAAATGCCAATAATGTCGAAGCACGTGGCGGTTGGAACTCAAGCAGTTTTGTTATACATCTAGTACAGATAATACATTTTGGAACCTATATGTACAGTTAAATACTGCCCTTCAAAAAGGAAAACTGTGAAAAAATAGAAACACCAAAAAATTTAAGAGAGACCCCTAAAAATGACATATTGAGGTAGTACAATACAGTTGTATATATGACAAGTATAAGGAAAACATTATCATTAAATAAAAATGCTATGTAGGACTGGCTAGAGAACTTGAAAAAGGGGAACCAAACAAGATAGTGCTGGAAGTGGATATATCACTTGATCGGCTAATGATTACATAGCAGACTAAGCTGTCTCGACTTTATATGGAGAATAAAATCCCTACATTACTGGCTTCCCCACTTTGTCTATCGAAAGCTTGGTGTTTGAATAGAATCTCAGCTTCCATCATTATACGTTTCCTTCAGTTAACTTTAGAATACAACTTTTATGACTATCTTACAATAGAGTAACATTCTACGATTGGAAGTTCTGGTTCTATTTGTTTTGCCAGTGAAGAAGCCAGTAATGTAGGAATTTTATTCTCCATGTAAAGTTGAGACAGTTTAGTCTGCCAATAAAGTGATATGTCCACTTCCATCTCTGTCTTTTTTGTTCCCTTTTTTCAAGTTCATTAGCCAGCTCTAAATAGGTTTTTATGTTGCGATAATTGTTTACTTTTCAATAAGATGGCGTACGTGTGTTACTAGGTTATAGAGTGTATACTAAAGGTTTATATATTTTGTATATAATAATAATAAAATAGGTAGCCAAAGATCGTAAAGACAATTTTGCCCTGTCAAATGATGATAAAATTATAGTTACTTCTAGAACTAGGTAGGCGCTAGGCCTGTTGAAGAAAGATGATGATGAACGAAACTAAGAAATCTTGGTTTTGGCTATTCGCCAGTTTTCGACTTGGGGACGCTCTGAATAGCTGAAAAGCGGCATATACATCGCAGGTAGAGCGAATATGTTAAGTAGCTCTTCACATCTAGCTTCTAATGGCATGTATGTGTATTGATCTTTTTTTTACTCTTTCACTTCATACATAATATAGGGGTTGGCTCCCTAAAGACACCGACTGTACAGTGTACAAAGCACTGAGTATTCTACATGTTACAGTCATATAATGTTCATATATTATTGGCTGGTAATTCCTATTTCACCCTTTAAATAAGCTTTTTAAAGGAAACCAAATTTCTATAAGAAAGCTAACTTCTAGGAGTAATAACTTCGTTTACACAAGAATTATGATTTTGTTTTTAACTTTGCATAGAATAGTAAAACATGTAGTCAAAGATCGTGAAGGCTATTTTGCTCTATCAATTGATGGTAAACTATATAGTATTTGCTAGAACTAGGTAGGTGCTAGGCATGATGAAGAAAAATTGCGATGAACGAATATAAGTAATCTCAGTTTTGGCTATACACTGGTTTTCGACCTTGGGATGCTCTGGATAGCTGAAAAGCGGCAAATACACTGGAGATAGAGCTACTATACCAGGTAGCTCTTCATACCTAGCTTCTGATGACTTGTAGAGAAGAAACTCCTGATGACTTTTGTATTGCTTTAATACAGGCGTCCGTGCCATCCCTACATAGAGAGTATTAGTGCACTCTCGGATATTACTAATTTATGTAATGATCAGAAGTACATCACTCCTGATGAGTAAATACTAATATGTCAAACACAATTATTTGTTTTAGAATTTTAGCGCAAAGCTATACACAATCATCCCTAATTTTACACTTATAGACTAGAAGGAAGGCACGAAGTCAACAGCACTCACCGCCAACTCTTACGTTGCTCTCTTCTGAAAGAATAATTGGATTTGATCGTTACTCTTATAACGCATTCATGGCTTCCAAACGCGGAATACGTTTTTGCGGTAAGGAAATACGAAACATAAACCCTTAGATTCACACTTCGGTTCCATTAACCACAAGGCCACACTTGACCCAACACATAAAAAATTATGTTGCTCAACGTAGAATACAAACAAAAACATAAAATGAAATAGTTGCTTGTGTATGTTTTCTCTCACTATAATACACTTAATATAAAGTATTATATCTTGGCAAATCATGCCCACAAATGTTTGTTATGGTTACGGTGTTTAAGCTAAGCAGAGTTATACCTGAACACTTGTAGGTTGTTCGTGAAGGCTCTTGAACCTGAATAGTTTGGTTTCACATACAGAATAAAGCGCAGAAGAATAAGAAATGTTAGTATCTTAACGCTTTAAATGAAACGTTTGTACTAATATCAACTGAAGAAGATACGTAAGAGTGTCAAAAGTTGTTCAATGTAAAACGTGCTAATTCAGTATAAGTAATAACGTGACATAAGAAACAATGTAGCATACGGTATGTAATATTATGATATGCAAAATATGCTAGCTAAGAATAAGTAATAGTGTGATGTCAAAAATAATCTAGCATGTCATATGTAATAACGTAATATGCACACTTTGATAGTTCCGAATAAGTGATAATGTGTAAGAAACAACCAAGCACACAATATATAAAATATGCTAGCATACAATATCTAACAACGTAATATATAAAATATGCTATCATACAATATCTAACAACGTAATATATAAAATATGCTATCATACAATATCTAACAACGTAATATATAAAATATGCTAGCATACAATATCTAACAACGTATTATATAAAATATGCTAGCATACAATATCTAACAACGTATTATATAAAATATGCTAGCTTGAGAATAAGTTATAACATGGTTTCAAAACAATCTAGTTCACCGTACATGAAAACTGACACATGAAACATATTTTCTTGTGAGAATCAAAATGTAGAATAACGATATTGAGTAGCTTATAACAGAATTGATTCTTCAACCACTTTTTAAAGTTTTATAAAAAAAATGTACGATTAATATTAAGATAATTATGTTTTAATAGATGGTCGTAATATAAACATAATTTATATAGTAATTTTTGTGACTATTATTGCGAATTCATTGTTCGTTTTATGTTTTAATTTAGTTTCGGTATATCGTAAAAATAGACATAGGGTAGAAAATAATGAAAGTAAATTGTGCCCTGGCTTGTTTATCTAAAGAAAGTTCGTAGCAAACAGTTGTGTATACATATGTGTATACATATATATTATTATAATTAATCACATTAACAGCTCTACTAGAATGAAGTTTATGTTCGATGCTACGTAAACCATAAAACAATGTACCTGATAATCAGATAAATTCCTTCTGATTTCTTTTATCAGGTACACTGTTTTATGGTTTACGTAGCATCGAACATAAACTTCATTCTAGTAGAGCTGTTAATGTGATTAATTATAATAATATATATGTATACACATACCAGTTTCATCACCATGAAATTTTGTTAATTTATTCTTACCCACTTATAATACACTGAGGAACCAATAGAATTAGTCAAAACATATGTCGTTAAAATTGTAATTTATGATCTGTAGTGAGTGTATTTTTATTCGTTATTATATGTATGATATAAATATATATTTTCCATTATTTGAAACATGAGGGGATTTCAAAGCTAGAATGTTGCTTGTTTAAGGCACGGGGTTCTTAGCAAACCCACTGCGGGTTTTAAAAAAGTAAAAATAAAGGTCCAGTTAATTTTATGTTTCTGTTTTACCAGACGCTATTGTCACCATAGTATTTTAAACATTAAGAAAGCTTGGACAGTGGTTTTGTTGTACAGAATTTTGTACTGTTTCTCATATTTCCTTCTGACGAATTCATGTTCTTGGAAATTCAAATCTTTTCATAGACAAATTTATAAGGTATCGATCCAGTACTTATAGAGATTAAAACGTAGTGTGCAAAACAGCCATCATTCAGAGTTTTATGTTTCTTATAAAGTGATCGATGACCAATCAACGATTTGTAAAATTGATCTTTGAATTGATTAGTTTACCTTTCTTTGTACATTTTGGTTATTGTTAATCGAATAAAGTTTGTTACTAAAATATTCTACTGTTCACAAGAAAATGACAAACACCCCTGGAGAATCATTGTGACGTAAGCAATCTTCGTAATCATTTTATCAAAGTAATATAATCATTCAGTAAATTCTTACTACGAGGGGTGAATGAATTACTGTATATAATGGATAAAAACTTAGGCTTGATATATCAGTTTTAATACATCATTCATAAACGTTTCGCATCCTACCTAAAGAAACGAGCACACGCAGTTGCGTAGTAAAATATTATATATCAGATATTAAGGGTCTTATATTTATGTATTAGAAGGCAAGGGTCTTATTTTGTTATACAATGAAATATTATGTATTAGGCACCCAGAGTATTATTCTTTTACATACTTAAAATTACGTATTAGTTACGAATTGTCTTATTCTGTTACATCGTAAAATATCATGTATCTGATGTTAACAGTCTTGTTCTTTTACATACTTAAAATTACGTATTAGATACGAATTGTCTTATTCTGTTACATCGTAAAATATCATGTATCTTATGTTAACAGTCTTATTCTTTTACATACTTAAAATTACGTATTAGATACTAAGTGTTTTATTCTGTTACATCGTAAAACATTACGTATCTG